GTATATTTACTGGAATAATTCATCTTTGTGGAATTAAGTCCTTTGGAAGCTGCCTATAGAATGTCATAGGAAGTAGAACATTTCACCCCTCAAATTTGGAATTCCACTATTTCTCTCACTATATTTGTCACAGAAGTGTGTATGTACACATGTGGTGTGTATACCCACATGCACACACGTAATAAAGATTAAAATTTTTCAGAGACAGATATTTTATTTAGAAATTTCTTACACCGTTGTCCCCTTCAACATAAACCTGTTTTTCCCAAGAGCAGGAGTAAGAGCAGAGTGAAGCCACTGACAAAGGGGAGAAATTATTTTGTATTAAATCTAAAGACTGCAAATCTGTAGTTGAAATTTAAAAGATGTATGATAATAGTAAAATAAAAATTTGCCAGAGAGGAATTTCTAGTGATATCACTGACAGAAAACAAGGATTTTCCTTTGGAACACAGTACAAGCAAGAAACCAAAAAAATAAAACAGAAACCAGTACAGAATTAGTGCATATTAATATATGCATGGTTGCTATTTCTGATGCACCTATCACCAGAGTATCTAGGTGCCAGATGATTTTGAAAGGTATTTAGGCCTTCCTCTACTCAGCTTTGCAGAGCCTAAGAGAACTAGGTTTTTTATAAATGGATTGAAATCAATGAAAGTATAGACCTAAATACTTTAGTCTGGTGTACTGGCATAATATCTTGGATATTTCAGTAGGCTAGATTTGTAGTAACAGAACTTAAAATCCACTTTTCATATTTTTATTAATTGAGATCTAAGTCTATAAGACAGTGTACTAATTTTTTCAAAACCTGCTATCTACATTATATGTAACCAATATTTGAGCATGCAAAAGGGCATTTAGGTTACAAATCCCGACTTTACGAGTGTAAATGGGTGATTTGTGAGGCATAATTTATGCATCCAATTTTAAACATCTGGCCTGGGATTTTCAAAGGTGCTCAGGGTACATGTATTCAACTTTCACTGAACTTCAATTGGAATTGGGTATCTAGGTCTCTTGGGGTGCGTCTACACAGCAGGGCTTAACTCAAAATAAGCTATGCAAACTGAGTTAAATTAATTGTGTAGCTTATTTAGAAACAACTTATTTTGAAAGTGGGAGCATTTACACAGCACTTATTTTGAAGTAGAGCACTCTTCCTCCAACTTCCCTTACTCCTTGTTTAATGAGGGTTACAGGAGTCAGAGTAAGAAGTCTTCCAGCTTGACAGTATTTCATCATTATTTCAAAATAACTGCCTGCTATGTAGACGCGGACTAAGTTATTTCAAAATAATGTTGTTGTTTAGATGTACCCTTAGTCCCCTTAGTCAATGTTATTGTGTGTTTATTGCTCTTCTGTGCTGTGAATATATAAATATATATCTTCTCACATTAAAAAATAAAGGGGAGAAAAATATGGATATATCAAATATTGCAAAGATTTTGGTGATTACATAATAACTTGATTTACTCACATGGGATAATTTTCTTCAATTATATGATTTGGAGAAAAACATTTTCTGTCTGCAGTGCTTTTATTCTATCTACTGTATTTTAAATTGCTCTGAGACAAAGAATTATGAATACTTCAGAAAGACTCTTTTGGAGAGAATAAAAAAAAAGAAGAAAATGCGTTATAGGTGAAACAGAAGTAACGTATATACATAGTGAGAAGCCATAGAGCTTTAGCAGAGCATTAAGATTGTGAAACTATGAAGTTGATAAAAAGTATCTCCTTCCTTCCTCAAGTATAGTTTTTACAGGTATCAATAATACACGTACGTGTACACACACATACTGATGTTGTCCCTTATTTCCAGGCACACTTTAGGCCTACCCTAAGGAAAACTGAAATAATTTCATTGACTTCAGTTGGGCGCTTTAGATAGGTTCCATAGACATGTATAAGCGGCGAGGAGTCCTGTGGCACCTAATAGACCAGTGGTCCCTAACGTTTTGGGGCTGCCGGGCGCCTGGGGGCGGGGCCGCTCACGTGCTGCGCGTACAGGGGCGGGGCCGCTCACAGGCCACGTGACTGGGGGCGGGGCCAAGCATGCGCCACACGCCCGAGGTCGGCACCGGCATGTGCTGTGATCCCGGGCAGGGGCTGCCCAGGTTCCGTGTGGCCAT